CCACGACTCTCGCATCCCTCTGCTCCAGGAAGGTAATAAAAAAAATGAGTATTGAAATTGACTGTATCAAATTTTATAGATGTCAACTGTTAATTCGGAAATGATATCAAGTGTTGATTCAAGTCGCACTTTCGTACTTGGTAAAAGACGAAAGAACAAACGAAATGTCTATGACTCGTTGATACGTTACCAACGTGCACATCGATTCGCAAGAATAATGAAACGAAGGATTTATCTGCGCCGCAAGGCTGCATGGGAACGAGATGACCCAGAAGAGACGTTCAGCGTAGACTCTGCTAGTAGCGTATGTGGGTCGGGCAAGGAAGAACCGTCTGTAGATTCGTCACGATCCAACTAATCGAACGCAAACGCTTAGAAAATTATCTTATTGTTGGTTTCAAATCCATTGATTGTATCAACTGTTGTAATCCTTTGCAATTCCTGTCCTAAACTCAACTACTGAATAAAAGAATCCTAATAAAGGAATTTCTGTTATTGTAGAATGAGTCAAGAATCTGCCCACGGACAAGGCAACAATAATGAACACGTCAGTGTTCATACGGAAGCATCTAGCTTTACCCCTCCCATCCAAAATGAACCCGTCAATCAACAAAATGTTGGGAATAACCCGAATGCTGGAGGTCAACCCGACCTTGTGATTCCAGCATTTCTCGCTAATGTGTTGCAACAAATAGCCAATGCGCCAATGTTTCAACCACCTCCACCACCGCCACCTCGAGTGATAACCTACAAAACGCTAAGGGATAATGGTGCAGAATTATTCCTTGGGGATCGCATCGGTGAACCCCAAATTGCGTGGGACTGGATCGAGCAGACTGCTCGAGTGTTGGAGGATCTCAACGTAACCATGGACAATGACCCCAGACTGGCTTCTCAATTACTTCGAAAGGAAGCCTACGAGTGGTGGAAAAGGAATGATGAGAGTGCGGGAACCCCTAAGCCGTGGACATGGGCACATTTCGAATGGGCATTCAAGCAAGAGTATATTCCGAAACGCTTTAGCGAGGAAAGACGTAAGGAATTTGTTGAACTAGAACAGGGAGACATGACACTCCCTGAATATCGTCAGAAGTTTACCAAACTTGCAAAGTTTGCGCCAACCTTGGTGAGTACCCCAGCTGATCGCATTGAGGAGTTCAGGAGGAAACTTCGACCTGACCTCAGGTCGCGAGTGTCCGTCCTAACCACTCTGGATTTCGCGGAGGCCTATAATATTATAGCCAGGGCAGACAGCGACTTGAGTGCTTGCATTGAGTATCTGAAGACAAACAATGCTAGCTCAAGCACTCACCGTCCCATCAACTCTGTTTCAAAAGGAAAAAGGCCCCTCCAGGAATCTAGTAGTTCACATTTCTCTAAAAAGGGAAAATCTGCACAAACTCAGTCAATGACATCCGGTAATAGAACCAAGGGGTGGAAAAATCCACAGTGTGACAAATGCGGAAGGCACCACCCTGGGGAATGTTGGCTTACACAAGGGTTATGTCTCGGTTGTGGAAAACCAGGACATTTCCGAAAGGAGTGCCCTACAAATCCTGGAGAACCATTCCCACCTACCCCCGTTGCTAGCAAGTCTGCATCAGCACGACCTGCACCAAGTCAGCGGTCAACTACGGGATCTAATCCTGCCAAAAGTCAAAACAAACAGCAAGGACGAGCTCCTGCCCGTACCTACGCAATGAAAGCTCGAGATGAGGAAAACCCTGACGTCATTCAAGGTATGTTTTCTTTATTTGATACTGTCATGCATGTGTTAATAGACCCTGGATCAACGTTGTATTATATCTGTGTACATATGCCTGAAAAAGCTGACATAATGAAAGAGCGATTGGAACAACCTATACTAGTGTCTAACCCGTTAGGACATAGTATGAGGTTAGATCATGTGTATCAAGACTGTCCATTGATTGTTGAAGGACATTAGTTCTCTTCCAATCTTGTTGAATTACCGTACAAAGAATTTGACATCATCCTCGGAATGGATTGGCTCACCGAACACCAAGCAATTATCGATTGCCGACGACGAACGATTCAACTAAAGTCTGGAGAGGGAAAGTCTATAGAGGTGAATGAGAATCTAACACCTAGATCCACTGAATTCATCTCGTACATACACGCTAGGCGTCTCATTCGAAAGAAATGTGAGGCTTATCTGTGTAACGTACGTGACACACGAAAGGAAACTCCTGAGGTGAAAGACATACCGACAGTATGTGGTTTTCCTGACGTATTTCCTGACGAACTTCCTGGTATACCATCTTCCAAATAAGTAGAATTTTCCATCGATCTTGTTCCTAGAACAGGACCGATATCTGCAACTCCCTATCGCATGGCTCCTGCCAAAATGAAAGAGTTGAAGGCTCAACTACAAGAACTACTCGATAAAGGATTCATACGTCCGAGTGTGTCCCCTTGGGGAGCACCCGTCTTGTTTGTCAAAAAGAAAGACGGCTCGATGAGACTCTGCATCGATTACCGTCAATTGAACAAAGTCACAATCAAAAATCGATATCGTTTACCTCGTATCGATGACTTATTTGATCAGCTTAGAGGATCTACTGTATTCTCTAAGATTGACTTACGGTCAGGATACCATCAAATCCCTGTAAAGAAAGAGGACATCCCAAAGACTGTGTTCCGTACTCGTTATGGTCATTATGAGTTTACGGTAATGCCCTTTGGTTTGACCAATGCTCCAGCAGTATTCATGGATCTCATGAATAGTGTATTCCGACCTTATCTTGATCAATTCGTGGTTGTATTCATGAATGATATTCTTGTCTATTCGAAGAATCGAGAAGACCATGCGAAACATTTGGAGATAGTACTCAGCATACTACGGGAACATAAACTATATGCCAAACTGTCAAAATGTGAATTTTGGCTTGATGAAGTTACGTTTTTGGGACATGTGATTTCTCAAGAAGGTGTTAAGGTAGACCCCAGTAAAATATCTTCCATCACCGAGTGGAAGGTTCCAAGGAATGTTTGTGAAGTGAGAAGCTTTCTTGGATTAGCGGGATACTATCGACGATTCGTTGAAGGCTTTTCCTCGATCGCAACTCCACTTAACAAACTTCTGAGAAAAGATGTGAAATTTGTATGGACCGATGCATGTCAGCAAAGCTTTGAAAAACTAAAGAAATGTCTGACAGAAGCACCTGTGCTGACCCAACCAGTACCAGGTGTAGACTACATGATCTTTAGTGACGCATCTCATAATGGCTTGGGATGTGTACTCATGCAAGACGGAAAAGTCGTGGCATACGCATCAAGGCAGTTGAAGCCTCACGAATGTAACTATCCTACTCACGATCTTGAGTTAGCAGCAGTCATATTTGCTCTGAAGATATGGCGTCATTATCTTTTTGGAGAGACGACATATATTCACACAGACCACAAAAGTCTAAAATACCTGCTAACTCAAAAAGAATTGAACCTGAGACAGAGAAGATGGTTGGAATTGATCAAAGACTACGACTGCTATATTGACTATCACCCTGGCAAGGCTAACGTAGTTGCTGACGCATTGAGCCGAAAGATGATAGCCGAACTCCGAGTTGAACCTACTCTTAAGAACGAAATTCATGCTGCACAAAAACGTGATGATTACTGTTTGAAGACTTGTGAACTTGTCTCTAAGGGGGAGAGACAAGATTTCACGGTGAATGATGGAATTTTATTCTACAAGGATCGTTTGGTAGTTCCTAGTGGCGAAGTGAGGGAACGTTTAATGCGTGAATCTCACGAAACCACTTATACCATGCATCCTGGTAGTAATAAAATGTTTCAAGATCTGAAGAAGACTTATTAGTGGCCCACAATGAAGCGAGAAATTTCTGAATTTACAACACGATGTCTGACGTGTCAACAAGTTAAGGCTGAACACCAAGTGCCAAGTGGGTTATTACATCCACCTACTATCCCTGAATGGAAGTGGGAACGAATTACGATGGACTTCGTAATCGGACTTCCATTATCAGCCAAGAACAATGACGCTCTTTGGGTAATAGTTGACCGATTAACCAAGTCATCTCATTTTATCCCTATTCGACGTGATATGTCTTTGAAGAAATTGGCAGAATTGTACATCCTTGAGATCGTAAAATTACATGGTATACCTTTTTCTATCATTTCTGATCGTGACCCGCGATTCACATCGCAATTCTGGAAGAGTTTGCAGAAAGCGGTAGGTACTAAACTTAACTTTAGTACGGCATTTCATCCTCAAACTGACGGACAATCTGAAAGGACAATTCAAATTCTTGAAGATATGATGAGAGCATGTGTAATTAATTTTGGAAGCAACTGGGAACAATACTTACCGCTAATGGAATTCGCGTATAACAACAGTTATCAAGCGAGTATCCAAATGGCCCCGTACGAAGCCTTGTATGGGAGATGCTGTAGAACCCCAGTATGCTGGACAGAATTAAGCGAGCAAAAGCTTGAAGGACCTGATCTCGTTCGTGAAACTAAAGAGAAGGTTCGTCTAAATAGAGAAAGACTGCAGGTGGCTTCCGACCGACAGAAATCTTATGCCGACTTAAAACGTCGGGAGATCGAATATAATGTTGATGACAAGGTGTTTCTGAAAGTCTCACCGTGGAAGAAAGTGTTACGGTTCGGTAGAAAGGGAAAACTAAGTCCGAGATATATTGGACCCTATCGAATCACTAAACGTGTGGGTCCAGTAGCGTATCGGTTAGAACTTCCACCAGAACTGAACAAGATCCATGACGTATTCCATGTATCGATGTTGAAAAGATACCGTTCCGATCCATCGCATATCTTGACTGAGGGAATTGTAACTCTAGACGAACAATTGACTTATGAGAAGGAACCTGTACAAATTTTAGCACGAGAAGTCAAACAATTGAGAAACAAATATGTACCCTTAGTCAAAGTGTTATGGAGGAATCACTCGACTGAAGAGGCAACATGGGAAACTGAAGAGTCAATGAGGGTGCAATATCCGAATCTCTTCAACCAATGACTCAGGTAATATCGAGGACGAAATTATTTTTAAGGGGGAGAGAAATGTAAAGCCCCGAAAATAGGCCTGTCAGAATTAATTAATTTATAATTAATTAATCACTGAGAAGGATCCAAAAATAAGTAAATCCTAAAGTTTGTCAATAATTAATAAAAATTATATCGTTGTGTAGAGTTTGACTGTCTGACCCCAACGGTTCAACCAGATTTCAATTTGGAGAAAGTTGGACCAAAAAGTGTACCCCAACTGGGACCAAAATTACTCCCAATTAGGGACTACACACCAAATGGAGCCCTGTTCAATTACGCCGATTCCAAAATGTAAATCGCCGCACAATCAAGGAAGCAACCAAGCCTGGGTCTTCTTCTTCTCCACTGGCCTATTTAAGCACAACTCAACTCCCTCAATTCCTCACCAAAAACATTGATTCTTCCTCCTATATTGTTCCTTGTTGAGAGTAGAGTGCAGTGGTGCTGTCATCTTTGTGTGAGGTCGCCGGAGCAGTAAGATAGAGTCGCCGGAAGTTTCGCCGGGAAATCGTCAAAACCTCCCTTACGCTTTGAGGTAAGCCCCTAGATATATCTAATGACTAGAATGTTCATATAGGTCGTAGCTACGTTCATAAATGGTCATTTGGTTGAGTTTTGTGTTTGACATGTTTGAAGAACCAAGAATCATAAACCTTTAATTTGATGTTAAAAATATGTTTTAATAATTCTAATATGATCTATGAACCTTGGAGAACATCTCTATATAGTTTAGTTGAAGTTCGGTGACTAAAAATGGTTTTCCCGAAAAATGGACCGAGGTTGAAGACGAATGAACAGTGGCTGAAAATCCACAGAGTGGATTGATCCCCTTCATTGGATCGATCCTCTGGGAGTTTTTCTTTTAGTTGGATCGATCCAGAGGGCTGGATCGATCCTCCGAAACTCTGGTCCGAAAATTTGTCTGAAATTGCTATTTTTGAGCTCTAAAATCCTACTTTTCATACCAATTGATTATGATTATTATAAAAATGATTTTTCACAAAAAGAATGATGTTTTTAAACAAATTAAAGCATTATGTGATGCATGACGGTAAGTTCGGGTGTTAACACTCGAGACTAGGCCGCTATTTGTTGTTAAACGTCTTGTTGAATGATCATTATGATGAATAATTGTTATGAATGATTATGAATTATAAACCTACTGATTAGAATGATTATTGATGACTTAATCATGATTAAAAATGGACATATTGATAATCATAACGAGAATGTATTGTTAAGGGTATCTAGAACAACTCTAAGATATACCCATAATGAAATTGATGTTGAAAGATATCTAGAAGAAATCTAAGATATACCTATTTAAGTTAGGCCTTGCGGGTATGATGCCCGGTGGCTAGGGTTAAAACGTACGTACGGGATCCAAGAACCAAACTTGAGTACCTACTCGTTTGGGGGTACCACCCAACTCAACAGTGAACACTACGCTGTCGATTTTTGGTTGACCTTAAGCGAAGGTAAGTTTAAGATTTGAAAACGTTTTTTAAAAAATATATCTTAAACTAGGCCTAGCTTAAGGATTAGGATATCTTGAACTAGAATCAGTTTAAGAATGGAATTGGCCTTAGACTAAGTATAGTTTAAGGATATTGTTGAATATTGAATATGAAATATTGAGATATTGAAATAAAAATATTAAGAATATCATGAATGGATTATATATTGTGTGCATGATATCAAATGGTTATTTGTGAATTGAGATTCAATTTATGTGGATGTTCGACGCTTTAGATATGCTTACTCAGCTTCATCGCTGAGCGTGTAGTATGTTTTATTTGCTACACACAGGTAGGCAGAATGATTGATTGGCATGTTCCTGGCAGCAGACAGGGCGAGACTATCGTGGTGGAATTTGTGATTTTAAAATAAATAATTTTGTTGTTATTAAACATGGTTTAAATTGCTTCCGCACTATTGTTAAACACTCTGTATTTTGCTACAGTTATGTATTAAATAATATTTATGATAAATAAAAGTATTTTGAAATGTTTAAAATTTTACGATTACCAAGTTAATACTTTAGTTCGAAAGGGGCTGCAGACCTGGACGGATTAGGGTGTTACATTGAAAGCTTGGATGAAGAGGATCCTTTCTCAAAAATGAATGAT